ACGGTGAACCTGGCTCGCACACACAGTAGCACTTTCATTTGAAGCGCCCCAGCCACGCTTCCCTAATAACAGCCTGGGAACTGCAGAACGCCCGCCCGTGAGCCCAGCCCTTTAAATGGGGAACAGAGCAGGGCTCTGGGGCCGGCTCACCACAACAGGGACTTAGGCTCAGGCCTTCTGTCCAGAAACAAGGCTCCCATTAAAAGCGGAAAACAAAACAATACCAGCAAACTACTTTCTGGCAACAGCCACACGCTAACTCTCATCTACACACACACACACACACACACACACACACACACACACACACGGGCCCACCCTTGCTGGCTCCTTACAGCATCAGGCTACCCCCGACAGATGCCAGTGTTTCCAGTCACACTGACTGGGTGGACAGACTGACTGTCCAGCTTCCTCGCCGTAGCTGCAACTGAATGAGTGAGCTCTAGTCTCCTCAACCATGATGTGACTAACACCAGTACGAAGACGTAAGAAAGAAGGGCACGGAAGGGGGCTATGTCTGGTCAGTGCTCTGTAGACACAGCGCCCTTACCTGAGTGGTAAGACTACAAGGAGTAAATGAATAAGTGATTTAAGTGAATGAATGAGTGGCTACGTGAATAAGTAGTAAGTCAGTGACTGAGTGAACGACTAAATGGTGAGTAAATAATGAATGAGTGAGTGAACGAATGAATGAATGAATGAATGCAAACCAGCAAGAGGGGGCTACAAGGTCCCATCTCACAACTACTTGTGAGCACATTCCTCTGTTAGTCCCACTTGGCCCTGCAATGGGGTCTGCCACTCAAAGGGGGAGTTGCAGGTACAATTTCCATCCCTCCACAGCATCAAGAAATGTAGCTATTTGGGCCTCTCAGAGCTGGCTCGTCACTACCGGCTCTGTTTCACACATTCCCTTTTCTTTCTCTCTCTGTGTTGTTTACAAAGGTTTCATTATGTTTTCAACTAATCAGAAAGGCCCCGCTAATACACAATTAACATGTGATTATAAAAAAAAAAATTAAAATAGCTTCCAGAAGAAGGAAACGTAATTAAGTAGAGAATGCTTTTCAATAAGAGCTTGCTTTAACCCATTGTCAGAACACAGTCTCCGTTCGTCCACAATGCCTGGAACAGATGCCAAGGGCAGAATGTTAAAAGCAAGTGAAAAAAAAAAGGACATTATTCTGGGGGAATAATAACCACCGCTTGGCACAATGCGCCAGGGAACTCAGATTCCGGCAGCAGAGGGGCAACCTCCCCCAATCCACTTACATGCTGCAAAAACACTTCCCTTCCACAGATGTAAAGCGAATGCCTGTGGCCAAGCCCAGGACAATTGGAACAAGTGTCCAAGGTATAAGGGGCAATAGGGTACACACAGGTCTTCAAAGCCCTCTGCTAGCAGAAATTCTAGTCTTCATTGAGGAATCCCATGCTCATTGCTGGTGATTATTTTCTTTTAAATAATCTGGGTGTGAATTCTAGAAGGCTCTGTCTTCCAAGCCTTAGCTTGGATTTGAACCGGCTGTTCAAGAAGCCTTAGTGGGCAAGTCATGTCACTCTCTTTCCCTACATCACTAGAAATACTTCTTTATGCCCCCCAGATGCAGCCATTTCACTGGTCCTGATGCAGGTTGATGCAGCTTGAGGCACTGGCTTATCTCTGCCCATCAGCATGGCCCAAAAGCAAACTGGAAATCTGACAGTTCCCAAAAGGATGGGGGTTTCATGAGAGCCAAGCACATGCCTGGCCCACGATGCATCTGGGGCTTATGGTGGTACTCCCAAACATAGTGGAAAAGAAGCATGTCCAGGACCTGTCTTCCCTCTACGAATGCTTAGCCTAGGGCTAGATCCAGGCTTGACCATCGAGTTCCCCTGTACTGGTCTAGCAGTGCAGACTGGTGACATTATCACCAGGAAGAGGCCTAGGGTGTGGTCAAGACACCGTCACCCTATTTCTGCGCTTTGAGCCAGTTCATGTGACCTATACTATGCTCAGGCAAAGAATTTAACACCACAGCTAAGTAACTGGGCAAAGCACCTAACTGCTCTCAGTCTGTCCCTGGTTGTGAAATTCCCTGTCTATAAAAGAGCTTTGGAGGAGAGAGAGAGAGAGGGAGAGAGAGAGAGAGACAGAGAGACAGAGAGACAGAGAGACAGAGAGACAGAGAGACAGAGAGACAGAGAGACAGAGATTGTTCCTGGGTGATAGTCCTAGAAGAAGAAGAGGAGGCAGCCAAGTTTGGAGAGTGTGTTCAAGAGCCAGCCTTTAACCAAAGGGCATACTGCCTTCCATGGCAACAGCCCAAGGAGGAGGCTAATAGCCAGACATGAGGATGGGCATCTCATCATGCTCACATGGCAATCCCATCTTACCATGACTCCCAAGGGGGGGCAGCAGCGCCAGAGCACCAGAGTGCAGCTTATTTTCCCACAGAACCGCATTGACAGAGGGAAGGCATTGAGCAGGACAGAGCCCCAGCCTTCCCACTCCAGCTGGCCTTGGCTCAGAGCCTCTGATGTCCAAGATGGCCAATCCAGGTCTCAGCTCTTAGACTACTGTCCCACTAAGGTGAAGGAAGGACCTTTGTCTCCTGAAGCAAATCGAAGTGATGCTCTCTGAAGTGTGCTGAGTGAGCCAGGCTGCGCTCCCTCATCTACGCTTACAAGTCTTGCACAGCAAACCCACCCTAGGCACGCACAGCAGTCCACTCTGACCCACAGCTCAGTTCATATCCAATGGCTCCCCAACATCCCCCTGGCTTCCTCTGTGGTACACTCCATCATACTTCCGCCTCCCTCAGCTGACTAGAGCTCGCTCCAAGGAAGAAGGCACTCCTGGCATCCTAACCTGGTCCCACTCTATCCAAGGACACTTCTCTGGGCGCAACACCCTCAACATTATCATGCCCTCCTGGGGCTTGCTGAGCAGTTCAGAACGCCTTTAGCAATCCCAGGTGAGGTTTGGCCCCTTTGGATTACCGTCTGAGAATCCAAAGCCCCCAAGACATAACAGCAACCTTCCAGAGGCCAGACTATCCCAGGGCTTCTGGCATAGAAGCACTCGAAACATGACACAAATGCCATCCCTTTGTCTACACCCTGAAAAGACTGGTCTCTCATGGGCAGGAGCCTGCCCCCACTCACCCCTGCAATCCTATCACCATATAGCACATAGTAGGTAATCAAGCAATTCCTGCCGGATTCATCTGAGATGCTCTCCTACCCACTACCCAGAAGAGCTGTTAAAATTCTGCAGTCGGCGCCCGCCCTGCGCGCCTGCACCATGCAGCAAGAACTGACAACTCTTCCTAGATAAATATCTGGAAAGAAGTCGAGAAACAATTAAAACTAGAAGCTAATAAATGATGAAGAAACCCAGGAGCCAAGTCCTGGCCCACTTCCCAGTCTTCATTCATGCATCAAAAAAGCCCCAGCGGTCCGAGGCTTTGAGAGGGCAGCTGGGCAGTGGGGCTGTCCAGTGTAATATAAATGGGATGCGATATGATCGAAGGCCCTCATTGATTCCCACAGCAGACACTATCTCCCGGTGCCCCCCACCTCCTGCCACAGCTCCCCAGCCAAGCCCCCTTCTCCGGGAACACGTGACAGATGATCTTGTAACCAGGCAACCAGGGGGAAGAAAGGTTCCCAAGTTCCTCTACATGAGCGAGCAGGGATGGCTGCGTTCTTTGCATGGTGGCTACTGGCTGCAAATATCTTTTCTGGGTCTTAAAGAGCGGGGCAGGGGCAACATTTCAACACCGCAGCCTCCCTGTCCGCACCAGGTGGGCTGACCCGTTCGTTGGGCATGTGGCAGCTCCTTGTCCTCTCCAGACACCGTCACTCAAAGCTGGCTCCCAGCAGTTGGCAGTGACAGGCCCAGGACACTGTCTTCCCAGAGCAGCCCTCGCTCTGCAGCAGCCCCCCACCTTTCCTGACCATGCTGGGCCCCAGCTGTGACAACAGGCGAGTGCCCGCCACCCTCAAGGTAGCTGGAAGGATGATGGCACTGTGAAGAAACGCCTGCCTAGTCAGAGTGTGTGTGGGTGTCTGGGAAGATGGCAGGATATGAAGGGGTCTCGGGGGCCTTACGAGTGAAATGGAGTCCTATGGATGGTCATGGTGTGCACCTGCAACCTCAAAAACCATGATGGTCCTCAGGGTGGAGGAGGCATTCCAGAAGCCCAACACCTTATGTTTACTTTGGTACCTCACCTGCTGGGTGTTTTTTTTTTTGGGGGGGGGGTGTTCAGGTTCCTAACCTCAGAGAAGAAAGCCCACCATACTAACCATGGTGCTATCAAGGCTCAGGCTGGAAGTTGTAGAAAGAAAAAGAACCTACTATGTGCTGGGAACGTCACTCAAATGCTACTCCTATACTTAAGGATTTCCTCTCATACATGGCAGTTTACTCATCATTTTTGTTGTTGTTGTTGTTGTTCACAGTTAGAAGAACTGAGGCCCCACACCAGAGCCAGGACCCACAACGGGCCTACCCTTCTGCATCCCTGGTCCCTGAGTCCTTGGGTGCACAACCCAACCTCTGCTCACAGTCACTTAGCTTTAGAGCACATTCTAGATGGAAGGCTGGTGACACAGAGCCAGAAGCAAGGAGCGGGTATGTGGGAAGAAAAGGGTCCCTGGGCAGAGGACATACAGCATCAGGGACCCGGCAAGTACCACGCACCACCCTGGAGGCTAGAGACCCAGTGGCCTCTCCTGCCAATCAGCAGAAGCTACAATGCAAAGCAGGGTCCTACGCTTTGAATTCACGGCAGAAATGTCATTTTTTTTCTCTCTCTCTCTAATATCCATAGCTCACCTAATAAAGAAAATGAGTGAAGATGAGAAATTGAAAATTGGAAAGAGAATAATTTTTTCTTTATGTGACAAGACTCCAGCCCCTCTGGGTGTCAGGAGGTGTCGAGGGGCATTCAAGAAGGAAATGAAGACCTTGCTGGAGGGGTGGGGAGTGGGGGGGATCACCTGCATATCTAGCGAACCCCTTCTGATAACACAGAGAGGCCCATCCGTTCTGGCCCCCACCCAGCCGCATGCACAGAATAGGCTTATTATGACATCTATCTGAATGTCAGTGACCAAAGCCTAGGGCTGGTGAACAGTTCGGATGGAGGAGGCTTGGAAGCCATCCTTCAATTTACCAGCAGCATGAAGGAACCCATCCCTAGACAGTCATCTCCCACACATCTCTGCCCTGGGATATGGGGCTCTGAGGGTCCCTGGACTCCTGCCTCCCCATTTGGAGCCCCCAGTGGGGTATGGAAATAACACCAATAAGCAGAAGGTACCTCCCAGGACACAAGGGCGTGGAGCGGTGTTGGGAATCGATCAATCACAGCCCGTTGACACTAGCATCTCCAATGCATCCCCATTACATCTAAGGGCGGAATGGTTTTCTGGGAAGAGAAAGGCAGAGCTAATGAAACCACAGGCTTGGCACAGGCTGCTGGCACAGGGTGCCCAGCCAGAAGCTTTCTTCTCCCATCAGCAAAGTCACTGAAACTTTGGGAGTTGAGGTCACTGAGTTCTCTGCTTTTTTTTTCCCCAAAGGTCAAGTTCGTCTTGAAGGAAACGTACAAGATACAGACAAGGATGCGGGAGAGAACGTAAACGCTAGCTTATGTTACACTCTGTTAGACTCAGGAGCTGCCATTCGCTCTGGTGTCAGAAGCTGCAGTTGGAATTTATTCTTGCCCCTCTCGGCATTTCCCCCACCCCTGAAAATGCCTGTGATGTTGCCATTTTTAATTGCTCTGTGATGTTCCTTCCTGTGTCAGCTTTCATGGCTCTCTTCCTATGGGAATCGACTCCCTTCTAGTTTCCCACCTATCACAAGGATGCCACAGGTGTTTGCACACCCCCGATGCACCGCTGTGGTCAGTCTTCGTGGTGTCCGTGGAGTAGCATCCCTAAGACAATGACACTGAGTGCTCTTATCACATGCTTCCAGCTCCCATATGCAGACAGCTCCATCTGGACACCCACCCTCAGGCCCCAAGGATACTGGCCTCCCCTACCAGGGACCAGTACATCAGGAAAAAATTCCCTCTATGCCACGAATTACCATGGGAAAACATTGCTCGTCGAAGGCCAGGAGGAGGTGGCCTCTTGTTGTGCCTGCCAGGCACATCGCCGTCTCCCAGGGTGCACTCCTGAAGCAGGCTAGCCCGGGTGACATGCCTATGTACCTCACTCAGGCTCCCAAGTCACAGAACAATGCTCTGTCCACAAACAATCATGTTTTGAAAAACAAACAGAGAGAGCGTGGCTGGTACTTTCCCAATCCTTTCCACTTCCTGGAAATGTGAGATAATGAATAAAAATGTTCATTACTGAATTATTCACTTTTCCTCCCGATTCACATCCTGGTAATTACCGTGACCAGCCTAATAAAAACTGCTACAAACCGAGGGTCAACTGGCAGTTAGAAGTGTTCATTTTCATTTCAATGTATTCATCTCTGGCTCCTAATGGCCTCATTTTCTCCCATGCTCCTTAATAAATACCACTGAATTACAGGTTAAATAGCTAAATTAAATTATTGCAATTATAGCGTGCAGAGCCCTGAATCCGGGTTTACCTTTCCTAGTTCAATTAGAGGCGAAGTTTCCGCAGCCGCAGAATCCTGATTGCTGTCAATAATCTCAACGCTGAGAGTCTCGCCCAGATATTTGGTGGGGTTTTATTCTCCCTTCTCATGTCTAAGGGGTTGATTGGAGCGCTCTCCAATGCAACCGAATCACACAATCAAAAGTGGTTTTTGGAAATCGACCACAAGACATAATTGGTTCTTTTCTACTGAAAAGAGAGAAGACTTAGCAGGGTTCTGGCTTAGATGCGTGTGTGTGTGTGTGTGTGTGTGTGTGTGTGTGTGTGTGTGTGTGTGTGTGTGTGTGTACATAAGCCCCATTTTCTGAAGGGAAAAGGACATTTTAACACATACACAGACCCTCTTTCTCATGCCACCAGCCCAGAGCCATTTTCCTGGTCCACACTAAAGAACTTGTTCAATATTTAAATATATTCTTCGAATGCTGGTTACTTTTACCTCTCCACAGGATTAATTATCCAGCATCCCCTATAAGACAGAGTATCTTAATAATACAAAGTGCCTGAGAAGGAAAAGAAAAAAAAAATCTGCCAGTTCTGTTTCCCCAAACTGCAAGCTATGACAGTCTATTTCTTGTGTAACAGCTCCCCCTGACTTCTCCATCCCTCGGCTTCGAAGGCAACGAAGTCTACCACGGACAGGGACTCCTGTGTTTTTTTTAAACAACACTGCTCTTAACACAAAGCACAGGTAGGTGGCAAAACCCCAAGAGCCCACCAAGAGTACATAGAGATCCAGATGTGGTAGGAGTCTGTGGCGGGGAGAAGAGCCCTCGGTCCAGGCACTGAAGGCCAGGTCTGGCTAGTGCTAAAGAGACAAACAGCAGACTCCCTGGCAACCAGAGGAGGGGATCCGGTGGAAGAAGCCCCATGCCCCTACCATTGCTACGTGCCAAAAAACCAGGACCCACTACCCAAGCCAAGGGATGTGAGCAGTCCCCAAGATCCTAAGCACAGATGTAGACAGCTATGTAAGTCTTCATGCTTGCTGAAGGCATGAGCCTATAACCCCCACCCCCAAGCAGAAAAGGATGCCTCCACTTTAGGCCCAGAACAACCAAGGCAAGTTGTCCACGTGTTTACAGTCACAGCCACAGTCCCAGATCTCTGCAAATCTGCTCCAAGACCTAAACTGCAACCCCCTCCACATCCCCAGGGCTATATGTCCCTGGCCTAAGGCAAGGGGCTGGTACAGTTGTTGCTGGCCTACCATAAAGCAGACCAGAAGCTGCCAGTGAGCCTGGAGCTTCCAGAAGGTTAAGTCTGCACCTCAGTGACCTCCAAGCAGGGGCCTCCCAGGCCAGCACAGAGCATACCAGGTCAACAAGCTGGTGGTGAAGCACTGGCTATATAGAAGGCGTGGCTCTCAGGCCTCTCCTGCACCCCACAGGGCTACACAGGGCCATGGGCTCAGCCATCTCCAGCAGGCAGGGAGAAGGCAGAACACTGTGGTAAGGCAGGCCAAAAGGAACACACAACACCCCAGGTTCCCAAAGGGTAAGGCAAGTGGTCTGTGCCAATATGCCTACAAGGAAAGAAGCGATTCTGGCCAGGGATTTCTACCCTAAAGCAAGATCTGGGCTATCTCTGAAGAAGGCCGGGAGATCACACTGGCCAGTAGCTAAAGAGCTGTTACATACAACACATATACTGCTGGAAATGAGGAGGAGAGCATGAAAACACACACACATACACATACACATACACACACACACACACACACCAGGTACACTCACATCTTGATTCAATCCTGGCAACAAGCTGAGGAACGCACCAGCACCAGCACCACTGTCCATCTCATGGTCCATCTGAGATGTTTCTTCCCCATTTAGAGATGAGGAACCTCTAGGGCTCAGAGAAGTGAAGTCCCGAACCTAGGGTCACACAGCTGGAAACCACTGAGTCGTTTCTAAATAGGTTGTTCCCTGAGAAATGAGCAACCCACTCTTGCTCTAGAGCAGTGGTTCTCAACCTTCCTAATGCTGCGACCCTTTAGTACAGTTCCTCATGATGTGGTGTCGTCGTCCCCCCCCCACACACCGTAGAATTATTTCATTGCTACTTCATAACTAATTTTGCTACTGTGATGAACTGTAATGTATAAATGTCTATGTTTTCTGTGAAAAGGTCAGTCAACCCCAAAGAGGTTGAGACCCACTGCCCTTGAGTTACAGTTAGAATCTTCTCATGTCTTAGCTATAACATATTAAGTACTAGATTCAGATTCTTCAGGATAGGACAGCTTTTGGAATAATCTCTGTAACATGCCATTTACCTATGTTCTGGGCATCTCTGGATTTGAGTATGTGTCTCTTGTTGGATGTTGTTCTTGTTGGTTGTAGTTCCGTTTTGTTTGGGTCAGTACCCTTTATTTCTGCTGGACAATATTTGATAGTCATTCCTATTGCATATAGTTTTGTGTTAGGTTAGAACTTTCTTGTTAGACACTCGAGCAATGTGTTTGCCTTCAGACGCTGCCAGCGGCCAGTTCAACCTCCCCTTTGCATTACGTCTTAGGCACTCCAAGGATGAGCGTTGCTGGCTGATTATAGGTCTCAGGAGAGTCTCTCTTCCCTCGAACCCTGTGCTCTGGTATCTCCTCCACCTGCTTGGCAGGGCATGAGATGTCTCTGTCCCCACGAATGTGGGCTCTGACTCTCAGCAGACCTCTTGACATCCAGGCTGTGGCTTGGCACAGCACACTGCTCACTGTTGAGACCCACACCAAGGTCTCCAAACAGATGACAGGGAGAGGTGGCACCTCAACCATGCACACACCACAGCTCCTTGCTTGGCCTTGCCAATTAGACCCTTTTCTTATATGGATAAAGTGCCTGGCACCGAAGTGAATAAAGCAATAAGAGTTCATTTCGGCTCCGTGTCAAAGGAAGTCAGCCACCGCCGCCGCGGTAGAAAGGCATGGTGAGGACACATTCACGGTCAGGAAGCAGAGATGGACGTGACTCTCAGCTCCCTTCCAGAAGCCCAGCCGACAGGACAGTGTTGCCACATTCTAGGTATGTCTTCCCTCCTCACTCAACCCTCTCCGAAAACACTCTGTGGCACACCCTGAGATGCATCTCCCCTAGGCGATTAAAGTCAGTCTGACAGGGATAAACCATCACATCTGGTGATCCTTTTGACCAAGTATGGAGCTCAGGGGGATTCTTACTATAATGTTGCCCTCTGCGGTAAACTCATCCAAGAATGGGGGACGGTGATCTTCTCTTTCTGCCGACCACCTGCTGGAGTTTCCATCAGAGAAGGTGACGAGTGGTGATTTGGTGATCTACCCAAAGCATACCTCAGAGCAGAGAAGAAGACAGCCCAGGCCTGCAGAGGGAAGACCCCAACACAAGAGTTCCCTTCAGGAGGGGACATAAAGGACACCAGAGGAAGGCCAGGGGCTCACGAGACAGAAGACCAAGGGCCAGTCTCACGTAGACACACACAGCTCAAGGGGCCTGAGGAGAAGGAAGAGGTTATCTCTTAGCTACAGGAGCCAAAATCCAACAGCACTTATGGGTACCGGGCGAATGAGCCTCCCTGACCCAGTGTAACTCAAGGATGGAGACGATGAGATGGGTCTAGAGCTGGGCAGAACAAGCCTAAGTCTCTCATAGCTTTGACTCTGGCTCTGGTCGCGGAGAAGGTAGACCAGAAGCCTCTACAGCCCCACCAAGACGGCACCTACCACTCAAGCGCTCCGGGAAAAGGCCAGATGCTGAGAGACCACCTCCATGCAGGGCCAGGTCCACCCTCGGTGGCCAATGCCCACCCCTGTCTGGCAGGATAAATGGCAGCCTTCTCAAGCCCCTCCTATACCAGGGGAAGTACGAGGCTGAGCCCAGTCACGTGGCATCTCAGTGAACCCCAGAAGAGAATACAGAGGCTGGAGATGGGACACAGCTTCCAGCAACGACCAGTCCCCTCTCCCCATAGGCTCTGTTCTTGTCCTCTGTGACCTTAGAGGGCATCGCGAAAGGCAGAAAGGGCACCAGCTCAGCCAGACTAGAGAAACTTCTAGAATGAGATATCCCTGAATCATGGAGGCCTTTCTAGCAGCTGGTAATGTGGGCTCCAGGACGAGAGACTGCAGAATCCACATCTCCTTTCTTAAAGCTTGGGTCATTGAGGTCAATGGAAGAGAGTGTATACACTGGAACCCTAAGGGCCAAGGTGGGGAAGTAGGGTTCTTTGCTGGCCCATTCACTGGACAGGCATTTCCTGTGCACCTACTCTGTGCTGAGCACAGGGGAATCCACAGCGGTTCATTCACTCATTCAGTGCCCATTCGTTATTCGCTCACCACACGGATGGGTCTGCTAAGCGCATCTTTGGGTCAGGCAATATACTGGGGCGTGGAGGGGCATTAGGAAAGGGAAACCCCCCATCCAAGGCACATACAGGATGCTAACATAGGGAAGGATAGAAAGCTGTGGGTCAAGGAAGGAAGCAGGCACAGCTTGCTGTGTAACTAATCCTACTTCAGCATGCCAAGCCCTTGGGTCCATACCTCAGCTGCTGAGCTTCACCAGGCTGTCAGCAGACTCCAGAAATCCTTACTGCCTCCTATCCTTAGCCTCTACAGATGGAAATCCTTCCTTCCTTCCTAGGGGCTCCCAGACACTGCCAGCCCCAAAGCACGGATATTCTTAGACTTCCCTAGTTAGGGACCTACCTGCCTTAGAATGTAAGAGGCTGCCTCTCCTACAATGACTCAGGGTT